TCGTAGTTCTCGGCAATCATAGATTTCAGAAATCATAGGGTATTTTCGTATAAACATGGGCTCGCTTTTCAAAAGGTTGACTCGCGAGTAGTAGTTCATCCAGGACGCGTACCCACGGCGTGAGCCGGGGCGGCAGCCAGTCTGGCATTGTTTACCAGTGAGCAAAGGTCCCCTCATGTGCTCCAGCGAAATATTTCATAATATTCCATTTATTTTAGTGCTTGCAAGTACTAAATAAGCTACCATGGCTCCAAAGAAAGCTCCTAGTGCCAAGCCTGTGGTAAAGAAGGTGAGAAATACGATTGAATTTACGAAAAACATCATTGAACAATATGGAGAAACATCACCCTGACAAGGTTGTTGCAAGCTATGTTGGCAACATGTACAATGACAAAGTCTTCGGCCATTTTAGGGAAGTGTTAAAGAGACGCCAGAAACAGAGCTCTCTCTCCACAGTTATTTTGCGAGACAGGACTCCAGTGACTCTCAAGGTGGTCCTAGTGGCATTAAGAAACAGAGAAGAGAAGCAACCCCAGAAAAGCAATTGGTACCTGAGGTGTTGATGGAAGGGGATTCCCCTTCCAAACTATAAACAATCCAATCTCTCTCCTCCTCCAGTCTCCCATACACTAAGAAGAATCTCCAATAAAGGTTAGTGTTATGCTGTTAATGTATCATTCATCATTTCCCATTGTATTGTTTATGTACTACATGTATATTTCATGTAAAAAATTTTTTTGTTTTAATACTTCTGGGTGTCAAGAATGGATTAATTGTATTTACATTATTTCTTATGGGGAAAATTTATTCGCAAATCGTAGATTTCGTTAATAGTAGCAACTCCAGGAACGGATTAACTACGAAAAACGAGGGACCACTGTATATGCAAGATTTCACGTACATCTTGCTACTTCTACTTACACTTAGGTCACACTACACATGCATGTACATGTTTATGTATACACACTCGCTTGAGCTTTCTTTGATTTTATCTTAATAGTTCTTGTTCTTATTGCTTTTCCTTTTATATCCATGGGGAAATGGAATAAGAATCTTTCCTCCGTAAGCCATGCGTGTTGTAAAAGTCAACTAAAATGACAGGAACAATGGGCTAGTAACCCTTCTTCCTGTATAGCCTACTAAAAAGAAAAAAGAAAACCGTCTAAGCAGGATGATGGAATGTGCATGGATGTCGTGCAAATGAGAAGAAGCTGGATGTCCTGGCTTTAAGTGAAACAAAGCTGAAGGTGGTGGAAAAGTTTCAGTGGGGAGAAATAAATGGGATTAGGTCAGGGGTTTCAGATAGAGTTAGAGCTAAAGAAGGAGTAGCAATAATGTTGAAGGATAAGCTATGGCAGGAAAAGAGGGAATATAAATGTATGAATTCAAGGATTATGTGGAGTAAAATAAGGGTTGGATGTGAAAAGTGGGTTATAATAAGCATTTATGCACCTGGAGAAGAGAGAACTGTAAAGGAGAGAGATTTTTGGGAAATGTTGAGTGAGTGCATGGGGAGTTTTGAACCAAGTGTGAGAGTACTTGTGGTTGGGGATTTCAATGCTAAAGTGGGTAAAAACATTGTGGAGGGAGTAGTAGGTAAATTTGGGGTGCCAGGGGTAAATGAAAATGGGGAGCCTTTAATCGAGTTATGTCTAGAAAGGGGTTTGGTAATAAGTAATTATTACCAAACCTCTTTCTACACATAGAGCATAAATAAGTATACAAGGTATGATATATATTATGTATTGGTGGATACAAGATTGATGGGTAGACTTCAGGATGTACATGTTTATAGAGGGGCAACTGATACATCAGATCATTATTTAGTTGTAGCTACAGTTAGAGTAAGAGGTAGATGGGACAAGAGGAAAATGGCAACAACAAGTAAGAGAGAGGTGAAAGTGTATAAACTAAGGGAGGATTAAGTTAGGGTGAGATATAAGCAACTATTGGCAGAAAGGTGGACTAGTGCAAGTGTTGGGAGGGTTTGTGGAGATGTGATGGTTGGAGTTAAACACACTTGTTGGATGGTAACACTTACATTGGCAGAGTGTGAAATGGGGGAGCCCAACCTGCCTGCCCTGCTGCTTGGTAGGTCTACCGGGAACTGAGGACGAGGGCCGGGAGCGCAGCGCTCACATCGGCATCACGTGACATCACACAAGCTAGTCACTTAGCCTAGCAAGGGGTCATGTATATAAAACATATGGATGGTACTATGACACTCAGATAACATATACATATACAGGGAATCAGCAACTATGCTGACAGCTCGGTCATGTTATGTATGTCATCTCAACATACAGTGGACCCCCGCATAGCGATCACCTCCGAATGCGACCAATTATGTAAGTGTATTTATGTAAGTGCGTTTGTACGTGTATGTTTGGGGGTCTGAAATGGACTAATCTACTTCACAATATTCCTTATGGGAACAAATTCGGTCAGTACTGGCACCTGAACATACTTCTGGAGTGAAAAAATATCGTTAACCGGGGGTCCACTGTACAATACTATGCTATAGGCTGAACAGGCAGGCGGGTCTGGGCTGATTCTATACAAAGGCAAAGACATATGTAACTTAGAACTAACGGATGGTATCGTAATGGATGTTAACGTAATTGCATTACGAATTATAAGAACAAATCATGGTATAATAAAGGATGGAATTGATCGATCGATCTGTATTCATGCACTCTACGGATTCTGAGGAAGAATAAATATATATTTACAAAGGTGAAAGTAAATTAACAGCAAAGGCAGATCTGGCACACACAGATCATTACTGCTAATCTCAGAATTCAGAGGGAACGTGAACACAAAAAAAAAACAAATATTCTGAAAAAAACTGATCAGCTAATAACAAACACACAGTGGACAACTTCATTCATCTTGAACATCTAATTATACAGACTATGTACATTTAAACCCAACTCTGCGAGGGTAAGATTTACATATGCAGAATGGCTATCATCTTTGGGTGGATCGAATTCTTCTGCAATGGCGTGTTCGATAGGAGTGAATGGAGACGAATGGTATTTGGGACCTGACGATCTGTTGGAGTGTGAGCAGGGTAATATTTAGTGAAGGGATTCAGGGAAACCGGTTATTTTTTATTAGCCGAACTTGAATCCTGGAAATGGGAAGTACAATGCCTGCACTCTAAAGGAGAGGTTCGGGATATTAGCAGTTTGGAGGGATATGTTGTGTATCTTTTTACGTATACGCTTCTAAACTGTTGTGTTCTGAGCACCTCTGCAAAAACAGTGATTATGTGTGAGTGAGGTGAAAGTGTTGAGTTGGGGATTTTCTTTCTTTTTGGGTCACCCTGCCTCGGTGGGAGACGGTTGACTTATTAAAAAACAGTAGGATTGCAGATGAGCAAGGAAGCTTTAGAGTGGGTAGGGGATGTGTAGATCAAGTGTTTACATTAAGGTAGGGAAGTTTTCACTGCATTTATGGATTTAGAAAAGGCATATGATAGAGTGGATAGGGGAGCAATGTGGCAGATGTTGCAAGTACGTATATGGAATAGGTAATAAGTTACTAAATACTGTAGAGTTTTTATGAGGATAGTGAGGCTCAGGTTACGGTGTGTAGAAGAGAGGGAGATTACTTCCCAGTAAAAGTAGATCTTAGACATTGATATGTAATGTCACCATGGTTGTTTAATATACATATTTAGAGATGGGGTTGTAAAAGTAGTAAATGTCAGGATGTTGGGGAGTGGGGTGGGATTAAATTATGGGGAATCAAATACAAAATGGGAGCTGACACAGTTACTTTTTGCTGATGATACTGTGCTTACTGGAGATTCTAAAGAAATGTTGCAAAGGTTAGTGGGCGAATTTGGGAGGGTATGTAAAGGCAGAAAGTTAAAAGTGAACATAGATAAGAGTAAGGTGATGAGGGTATCAAATGATTTAGATAAAGAAAAATTGGATATCACATTGGAGAGAGGGAGTATGGAAGAAGTGAATGTTTTTACATATCTGGGAGTTGACGTGTCTGCGGATGGGTTTAAGAAGGATGAGGTTAACCATAGAATTGATGAAGTTTTTTGAAAAAAGGTGAGTGGTGCATCGAGGTATATGTGGAGACTAAAAATGTTATCTATGGAGGCAAAGAAGAGATTGTATGAAAGAACAGTGGTACCAACACTCTTACATGGATGTGAAGCTTGCGTTGTAAATGCTGCAGCGAGGAGACAGTTGGAGGCAGTGGAGATGCCCTGTCTAAGGGCAATGTGTGGTGTAAATATTATGCAGAAGATTCAGTGTGTGGAAATTAGGAGAAAGTGTGCAGTTAATAAAAGTATTTGTCAGAGAGCTGAAGAGGGGTTGTTGAGGTGGTTTGGTCATTTAGAGAGAATGGATCAAAGTAGAATGACATGGACAACGTATGAATCTGAAGGGAGAGGAAGGCGGGGTAGGGGTCATCCTCGAAAAGGTTGGAGGGAAGGGGTAAAGGAGGTTGTGTGGGCAAGGGGCTTGGACTTCCAGCCAGCAGGTGTGAGCATGTTAGATAGGACTGAATGGAGATGAATAGTTTTTGGGACCTGATGAGCTGTTGAGTGTGAGAAGGGTAATATTTAGTGAAGGGATTCAGGGAAACTGGTTATTTTTATATAGTCAGACTTGAGTACTGGAAATGGGAAGTACAATGCCTGCACTTTAAAGGAGGGGTTTGGGATATTGGCAGTTTGGAGGGATATATTATATATTTTTATATATGCTTCTAAACTGTTGTATCTGGGTGCCTCTGCTAAAACAGTGATTATGTATGAGTGAGGTGAAAGTGTTGAATGATGATGAGAGTATTTTCTTTTTGGGGATTTTCTTTTTTGGGTCACCCTCCCTTGGTGGGAGACGGCCAACTTGTTGAAAAAAAAAATGTATATCTATATCGTATGACTATGTTTTAAAAACAAAAGAAATACAATGTATATTTAAAAAATTACATTGTCAATAATGAAACAAAGAACACATACCAAAACTTACACTAGTTGCCATTATGACTGTGATACATGTGTACTCTTTATATCACTCATCGAAGTTAAGAGATGACAAGAATACACTGCAGTTTTAAGCCTGAAAAATGAAAACTCGTGAGATTTTCTAGGCTCACATTATTATAGTTCTTTTTTACTGAGCCCAGAGGGAAAAAGGGGGGAATGGGAGGCAATCCAAGAAATGGTAGGGGTTAGCTCCAATTCACTGCATGAAGTGCCTTCACCAGCATCAAGGCACCTCCCTTAAAGAGCCCTAGTCTCATAACAAATACATAAAAATTTATACAGAAAACATTTCTTGTGAAATCTCCACGTATATCATTGCCTACTGGGATATGTCCCACAAAGTCTCATCTCAAAATACCATACATACTTTATCTCATCCTTATAAATACTACACATCTGTGAGCCATACATATTTATTAGTACATGTATTAGGAGAGAGTAATTGTGGTAGGGGACCTGAATGCTAAAGTAGGAGAAACTTTTAGAGAGGGTGTGGTAGGTAAGTTTGGGGTGCCAAGTGTAAATGATAATGGGAGCCCTTTGACTGAACGTTGTATAGAAAGGGGTTTAGTTATAGGTAATACATATTTTAAGAAAAAGAGGATAAATAAGTATACAAGATATGATGTAGGGCAAAATGACAGTAGTTTGTTGGATTATGTATTGGTAGATAAGACTGTTGAGTAGACTTCAAGATGTATATGTTTATAGAGGGGCCACAGATATATCAGATCACTTTTTAAGTTGTAGCTACACTGAGAGTGAAAGGTAGATGGGATACAAGGAGAACAGAAGCATCAGGGAAGAGAGAGGTGAAGGTTTATAAACTAAAAGAGGAGGCAGTTAGAGTAAGATATAAACAGCTATTGGAGGATAGATGGGCTAATGAGAGCTTAGGCAATGGGGTCGAAGAGGTATGGGGTAGGTTTAAAAATGTAGTGTTAGAGTGTTCAGCAGAAGTTTGTGGTTACAGGAAAGTGGGTGCAGGAGGGAAGAGGAGCGATTGTTGGAATGATGATGTAAAGAGAGCAGTAAGGGAGAAAAAGTTAGCATATGAAAAGTTTTTACAAAGTAGAAGTGATGCAAGGAGGGAAGAGTATATGGAGAAAAAGAGAGAGGTTAACCCTTTCAGGGTCCAAGGCCCAAATCTGGAGTCACGCACCAGTGTCCAAGATATTTCAAAAAAAAAATTTGTTATTTTTTCTTATGAAATCGTAGAGAATCTTTTTGTGAAGGTAATAAAACAAAAAGTACGAAAATTGGTTGGAAAATTGACGAAATTATGCTCTCGCAAAATTTTGATGTGTCAGCGATATTTACGAATCGGCGATTTTGCCGACTTTGACTCCCATTTTAGGCCAATTACATTATTCCAATCACCAAATTCTTAGCTATTTCACTAGTATTACTTCTATTCTATCGATTGAGCACAATAAATCGCCAAGTCAACTGTTTCAACTACAAAATAAAGTGATCGGAAATTGTTAATTTGGCCAATTTAACACAAAGTTCAAAATATTCCAATTTCAAAATAGGGTCCAGAATGAACAATGTAGGCATTCCTGGCACTAAACTAACATTTCCTCTGTTCATTAGTTATGTTTTGAGGCTTTACAAATAAATTGCATTTTGATTTTTTATTCACATAATGAATTTTTATTCACACCAAAAAATAGAAGATTTACTGTTATGCAATACTGTAATAATTGTATAAATATCATCACCATATTTGTGAATGTATATTAGACCCACCAGCTGATGTGTATTAGACGTGTGAGGTCGTTTCTTTACTCTTGAATATCGGCAAAAATTTAACATTTTCCGCTACTTTGAGCTCAGTTTCAAGCCATTTCCAATGCTAAAACCAATCAAAATCATCTCTATTTCTGTAATATGTCTTCCATTCTATCAAATGAGACCAAGAAATCGCAAATACAACTATAAAAAACATACGAAAAAACACTGCAAAGTTGCTGTTTTAATCGAAAAATCATGATTTCATTTTTTTTCTCTCATTATGCACAGTGTGCTGCAGGATCTGTTTTATGTGGTGCACACATACCACATAGATGTATTCTCTCATATCTAGGCCCAAATGTACCACTCACAGTTTATCAGAGTGAGCTGAGCTCATGGCGTAGATCTACGGTTTGGACCCTGAACATAAAGCCGTAGATCTACGGGACGGACCCTGAAAGGGTTAAGAGAGTGGTGAAGCAATGTAAAAAGAGAGCAAATGAGAGAGTGGGTGAATGTTATCAACAAATTTTGTTGAAAATAAGAAAAAGTTTTGGAGTGAGATTAACAAGTTAAGGAAGCCTAGAGAACAAATGGATTTGTCAGTTAAAATAGGAGAGGAGAGTTATTAAATGGAGAGTTAGAGGTACTGGAAAGATGGAAGGAATATTTTGAGGAATTGTTAAATGTTGATGAAGATAGGGAAGCTGTGATTTCATGTATAGGGCAAGGAGGAATAACATCTTGTAGGAGTGAGGAAGAGCCAGTTGTGAGTGTGGGGGAAGTTCGAGAAGCAGTAGGTAAAATGAAAGGGGGTAAGGCAGCTGGGATTGATGGGATAAAGATAGAAATGTTAAAAGCAGGTGGGGATATAGTTTTGGAGTGGTTGGTGCTATTATTTAATAAAAATGTATGGAAGAGGGTAAGGTACCTAGGGATTGGCAGAGAGCATGCATAGTTCCTTTGTATAAAGGCAAAGGGGATAAAAGAGAGTGCAAAAATTATAGGGGGATAAGTCTGTTGAGTATACCTGGTAAAGTGTATAGTAAGGGGGATAAGTCTGTTGAGTATACCTGGTAAAGTGTATGGTAGAGTTATTATTGAAAGAATTAAGAGTAAGACGGAGAATAGGATAGCAGATGAACAAGGAGGCTTTAGGAAAAGTAGGGGGTGTGTGGACCAGGTGTTTACAGTGAAACATGTAAGTGAACAGTATTTAGATAAGGCTAAAGAGGTTTTTGTGGCATTTATGGATTTGGAAAAGGCGTCTGACAGGGTGGATAGGGGGGGGGAATGTGGTAGATGTTGCAGGTGTATGGTGTAGGAGGTAGGTTACTGAAAGCAGTGAAGAGTTTTTACGAGGATAGTGAGGCTCAAGTTAGAGTATGTAGGAAAGAGGGAGATTATTTCCCAGTAAAAGTAGGCCTTAGACAAGGATGTGTGATGTCACCGTGGTTGTTTAATATACAGTGGACCCCCGGTATTCGATATTAATCCGTTCCTGAGAGCTCATCGAATACCGATAATATCGAAAACCGAATCAATTTTCCTCATAAGAAATAATGGAAATCAAATTAATCCGTGCAAGACACCCAAAAGTATGAAAAAAAAATTTACTACATGAAATATTAAGTTTAATGCAATAGAATAATTACAATAACAATAAAATAATTGACACTTACCTTTAATGAAGATCTGGTGATGATTGATGGGATGGGAGGAGGGGAGAGGTGTATTAGTGTTTAGAAGGGGAATCCCCTTCCTTTAGGATTTGAGGTAGCAAGTCCTTTTCCGGGGTTACTTCCCTTCTCTTTTAATGCCACTAGGACCAGCTTGAGAGTCACGGACCCTGTCGCCCAACAAATCTGTCCATAAGCTTGAACCTCCCATTTCTTTACGATTTGTCTAAAGGGGCCCAAAACATTTTCTTTGAATAGTCACCAGCAGGGTTTGAAATAGCTGTTTAGGGTATTTTTCCTAAAATTTGCACTAAAACCCACGTGCACACATTTCCTTAATTTTTAAAGTAGGCCAATGGTTTCCCACAACTGGCTAGGCTTCTCGGGGTTTAAAAACCCAAAAACCCCTTAAAAATCTTTCTTAATTTCCAACAATTCTCACCCTTTTTTTACCCGGGTTGGCACTAAAAGCTTTTTTGGGGCCCAGGGTAATTTTTTTGCAGAAAAGACCAAACACGTGATAAAATTGATTTTATGGAATGTCCCAAATTTCCTTAGAGCCGCACATGGCTGGCTTGTAAACACGGGCACACCGGTCATTTCAGGCACACTGGACAGTCTGTAAAAAAACGTATCGAATACTGGTTTTCAATCGAATACCGAGGAAAATTTTTTGCGATATAATGCATAAAACCCGGGATTTATCAAATACCGATCCCACGAAAAGGGGGGCCCACTGTTTTTATGATGGTTGAAGAGAAGCAAATGCGGGGGGTCTTGGCAAGTGGCGTGGATTTAAAAGATAAAAAATCACACAAAGTGGGAGTTGTCACAGTTGCTCTTTGCTGATGAAAACTGTCTTTGGGAGATTTAAAGAGAAGTTGCAGAGGTTGGGTGGATGAATTTGGTAGGGTATGAAAAAGAAGAAAATTAAAAAAGTGAATACAGGAAAGGTAAGGTTATGAGGATAACAAAAAGATTAGGGTATAAAAGATTAGTATCAATTGGAGGGAGAGAGTATGGGGAGGTGAAATGTTTCAAAAATTTTTGGGGAGGGGGACGTCAGGGGATGGGTTATGAAAGTTTGGGGTGTCATAAAATTATGAGGGGAAAGGGTGAGCGGTGCACTTAGGAGTCTGTGGAGACAAAGAACTTTGTCCTTGGTGGCAAAGAGGGGAATGTATGAGAGTATAGTTTACCAAACCAGCCTTATTGGGTGGAAGACGGCCTGATTGAAGGAGGGAGTAAGGCTGTAAAGCGTGTGAGATGTATGTCTGAGGGCAGTGTGGTGTGAATATAATGCAGAGATATTCTTTAGTTTGGACGTTAGGAGGAGTTGGGATTACGACCTGTTGTCCAGAAGGCTGAGGAAGGGTTTGAGTGGTTCGACATGTAGAGAGAATGGAGCGAAACAGAATGACTACAAGTGTTCAGTCTGTAAGTGGAAGAGAGGGTAGGGTTCGGCCTAGAAAGGCTGGAAGGGAGGGGGTTTAAGGTAGGTAAGGGTTTTGGGTTGTCGAGGGTTTGGACTTCCAGGGGCATGCATAGATGTTGCTAGAAAGTGACATGAACAAATGGTTTTTAATACTTGACGTGCTGTTGCGTGGAGCAAAGTAAGCATTATGAAGGGATTACAGGGAAACCGGCAGGCCGGACTTGAGTCCTGGAAGATGGGAAGTACAGTGGCCTGCACTTGAAGGAGGGCTGGAATGTTGCATTTTAAAAACTGTACGTAAAGCACCCTTCTGGCAAGACAGTGATGGATGTGATGATGGTAGAAAGTTTCTTTTTTATCGGCCACCCTGCCTTGGTGGGAAGTCGGCCAGGTGTGTTAAAATAATAAAAAAAAAATCAAAGTTGGTAAATATATATAAAACAACTTCTGATGCAATGCTCAGTATTAAATAAATTTCCAAGACAAATAATTAAAATAAAAATAAAATGATAAAAGTTCAAAGAAACGAAAAAAGGCATGAATTGAGAAAAAAATACATTACTGAAGAAAGACAGCTTAATTTAGATTAATGGTGAGGTAATTTAAGATAGCATCATGTAAAAATTGGGATACAGCATAAACTATTCATTTTGGTCTTGAAATACAGTACAGGTAGTCCCCACTTATACAGCAGGTTAGGTTCTAGGCTACTGCTGCATAGCGAAAATTGCCACAGAGTGAATCATAGTCTTTTTGTCATTCTGAAATGCATTTAAAAGCCAGATAACATGTTTACACTATCATGTATTAAGTAAGCAATAGAGCTACGTCTAAAAAAAAAAAAAGCATATAGTATACACATTACTTACCTCAAAAATTTTCATCCTTAGCTCATAATGAGTGGTGAATACATTTATCACAGGCAGTCTGAACAAATTAAGAATGGGTATAATTAAAAACTGCTGTATTGGTGAAATGCTGTAAAGTGGAGCCTGCCTGTATATGTATACACAACCATTGGTCCTCATCACTATGGGTTAGGCTATGTGATCATTCATTTACTGTCTACTATTTGCACATCACTGAAAATACTATTTCACGGCCAAAATTATACACAGAAACCACACAAAACAAAACAGAACTGTCTGCTTAAGTGGTAAAAATGAAAGAGTATGGAAACAACACTACCAATAATACAAGCACAGAATGACAATACAAATAACTATGAAATAAAGACAAAAGCAACAGTAAGAACATATACATTATGAATATTTACTGCAGAGTTCCCTTCACTTCTTTTGATATCTTAGGACTTCCACAACTGCTCTTCTTTCCTGAAAGACAGAATAGGGATATATTCATACCTTACTTCAGTTCTTCAACATTTCTCCGCTTCCACCTTGTCTCCAGTTGCTGCTACTCGCTAGAATAGCACACACACTGAGGACCAGGTTCCCAGTGTTGACCAGAACACTTCTGAAACAATCCTCAGCAAAATTTTGACTGCCCACTCACAGAACAGGTGAAGCTTGAACCCATGGCAGGCAAGTCCTAAAACTCATAGACCAGTGTGATCCATCTGCAATCATGTTACAGCTATTATATTTCATGAATTATGATTGCCAGCTTACAATGGAAGGTTTGACTTAATGGCAAACTCTAGCACTTTTGTTCTAACAATAAGTGAAGGTAGATGGGCAGACACCATGAACAATTTATCCATCTACACACTCACACACTATGGGGCTGGGCTTAAATTCTCTACTGGAGTATACAAACTCAACTTACAAGAGTTAGACACCATCATCTAAAACCATTGGTTTGGTGACACAAGGTTTACAAAGGGTATTATCAAGGCAGCTGTCACAAATTTTACTAACTCTATCATTCCACTGTGCTACCTCAACATACTCACATACTTGACCTGAGGATGACAGTATACCCATCACTACCACTGATAAAGGAGGCAGTGTAGTCATTGTGAGCATTACAGACTTCCTTGATGCTGGTAAGGGGTTCCTAATACAATGAACTGGACTTACCCTCCCTCTCCTTGGCTTGAACATGAGTGGCTCCTGTTCCCCTAGGTGCTGTATGACCCCTATGGGTTTAGTGCTACCTCCATGAATGTAATACTGTACTAATAATGACCATGAGAGACTACAATTTCAAGATCCACAGCCTTCTAGAAGACTGCAACACCTGAACTATGTCAGACCAGCAGTGGCAAGTAGACACCAAGAACTTCCTCAGTTAAACCCACAGTGCACTCTGGAAGACTTACGAAGGAAAGAAATTAATGTACATTCTCTCCAGCAACCTCATAATTATTACATTCAATGGGGAAATGCTAAACTCACAAGAGTTGTACAGTGCCTGGGAGAATGAAAGGCACTGTAAACGATTCAAGAAACTGGAGCATAAGTTCAATTCCCTGGATCAAGAACCCATCACCAGCATCAGGGAACCTCCCCTAAGAGGTCCTGCAACCTCAGACTTGCCAGACTTATTGGTTACCGAAAACCCTTAAAACTAACACTCTGCTTTCCTATAAGTGATCACTTCAGGTATGCTGTAGGTAACACTCCACACAGACTTGCAGATTTACTAGTGCTGGGGAATATTTGCTGACTCAAGATGCCAACACCTGAAACTACTGTAATGTTGACCTTGCCTCCCTATTTACTACTTCGTATGAACCATATAACCAAGTAAAAAAAATCAAGGATAAATTAGACTACAACAGTTGACTACTGCCTAGGTATCTATTTACTGCTAAGTAAAAGGGACAACAGGTATTAATACTTACCGTTCAGTCTTGTTTCATCCAGGATTTGACCTCACCTGGAGTCCTCTGGGATGAGAGCCAAGCACTACCAATGTGAGTAGTTTAACACCAACTTAATTGAGTTATCCTAGATTGAATTCTACATAATTTATAAAACTATTGTAAAATTATGCATGAGGCTTCAATATAATAATAATAATAATAATAATATCTTTATTTACTACCAGTACATGTACAAGGTATACAGGCCTAGCTGACATCAATGACATACTACTATATAGTAAGCCCCTTGTTATGCAGTGCATTTCAGGCAAATTAGGTCAGTTTTGTCCAGGATGCGACCCACACAGTCGACTAACACCCAAGTACCTTAGTAACAGAAGCCAATATGTGTACACAAATAGAGCAAATTCTTCCACGCAACCAATCACAGTCAGTGTTCCACAAGGAAGTGTCCTTGGCCCACTCCTCTTTCTCATTTACATCAATGACCTACCAAATGCATCATGGCTACTCAAACCCATATTATTTGCAGATGACACAACATCATCTTCTCTCACCCAAACCCAGTCATACTGGCTAACACTGTTAATGCCGAATTGCAGAAAATAACTAGTACCTGGATGATGACAAATAAGCTTACCCTTAATACTGACAAAACTTATTTTATTCAGTTTGGAAACAGAGCTGCAAATGTTCCACTAAACATAACGCCAAATGGATCACCCATCACAAGACTCGCAGAGGGAAAATTCCTAGGAAGCCACCTAGACAGTAGCCTCAAATTCCAGACACACATACAACAAATTTCTAAGAAAATCTCTACGACAGTAGGCATACTATCAAAGATAAGGTACTATGTTCCACAATCAGCTCTCTTTGCACTGTATCATTCACTCATCTACCCTTATTTCACATATGGAATTTGTGCATGGGGATCAACAACATTAAATCACCTAAGACTACTAATAACCCAGCAAAAGGCTGCAGTCAGAATGATAACAAATTCCCACTCCTAACAGCATACTCCACCAATATTCAAAGGTCTAAAACTGCTCACCATTAAGAACATTTATACTTATTCATGTGCCTACTACATACATAGAACACTTCACTCAAACTTCTCACCAACCCTAACAGGACACACGACCACAACACAAGACACAGATCTCTTTTTGATGTACCCTGTGTCCATATCTCACTGTAAAAACTCTATACACATAAAAGGCCTCAAAATTTGGAATTCATTACCAGTAAATACTAAAGTAACCAGGTCTGAACACCAATTTAAGGCTCTTCTCAAGAGCCACCTACTCACCCTAAACTAAATACTCAATACTCAGTATTTAACTTTATTAAAAATCTCCCAATTACCTAAAGCTTAAAACTTCAAATCTAGATGCCCATGTTCATACATTATTAATACTACACTGTAGTATAAACACCTACCCAAAACAATACTGCCTTACACCCAATTGTAGCATTCTCAGACTGTAAACTACTTTCAACAACTCACAATGTTATATTCCCATAATATAATTTCAATATTTATTTTTGAAACTATTGTAATTAGAGTAAAATTACTGTCAACTATAAATAAAAAAAAAGTGTACAACTTAAACTATGATCAATTTCTTTAGTATTAAGTAGTCTGTAAGCCATTAAATTAAATCTGCCCATAATTCCTAGGCATTATAGTGACTCTCTTTCCACTGCAACTCATTATTGTAATTTCATAATTTCAATGTAATCTTGCAAAGAAATAAATTTTGTTTTGTTTGTTATGGGTAAGGAAACACATCTCATGTTTCCAGCCCTTCGCCAGGAATCAACCCTGGATCCTCACCGTGTGATGCGAGAGCTTCTGCCACCAGGCCACTGGAAGCACAGAGTTGAGTTACTCAGCTGTTTTAACTTTTAAATCTTAAATAATATTACAAGGCCAAAGCTCTCGCTTCACACGGCGAAGTCTGGGTTCGATTCCCAGCGAGGGTAGAAACACTGGGCATGCTTCTTTACACTGATTGTCTATGTTCACCTGGAGTTTACCTGGAGAGAGTTCCGGGGGTCAACGCCCCCGCGGCCCGGTCTGTGACCAGGCCTCCTGGTGGATCAGAGCCTGATCAACCAGGCTGTTGCTGCTGGCTGCACGCAAACCAACGTACGAGCCACAGCCCGGCTGATCCGGAACTGACTTTAGGTGCTTGTCCAGTGCCAGCTTGAAGACTGCCAGGGGTCTGTTGGTAATCCCCCTTATGTGTGCTGGGAGGCAGTTGAACAGTCTCGGGGCCCTGACACTTATTTGATGGTCTCTTAACGTGCTGTGACACCCCTGCTTTTCATTGGGGGGATGGTGCATCGTCTGCCAAGTCTTTTGCTTTCGTAGTGAGTGATTTTCGTGTGCAAGTTCGGTACTAGTCCCTCTAGGATTTTCCAGGTGTATATAATCATGTATCTCTCCCTCCTGCGTTCCAGGGAATACAGGTTTAGGAACCTCAAGCGCTCCCAATAATTGAGGTGTTTTATCTCCGTTATGCGCGCCGTGAAAGTTCTCTGTACATTTTCTAGGTCGGCAATTTCACCTGCCTTGAAAGGTGCTGTTAGTGTGCAGCAATATTCCAGCCTAGATAGAACAAGTGACCTGAAGTGTGTCATCATGGGCTTGGCCTCCCTAGTTTTGAAGGTTCTCATTATCCATCCTGTCATTTTTCTAGCAGATGCGATTGATACAATGTTATGGTCCTTGAAGGTGAGATCCTCCGACATGATCACTCCCAGTAAAATGGGTACCTGGATGGTAGCTGACTGGTGTGGGTCGCATCCTGGGACAACTGATCTAATCTGCATAACAAGCGGCTTTCTATATAGTAGTTCTGCCTGAAATACTCAGCATAACAAGCGGCTTTCTATATAGTAGTATGTAATTGATGTCAGTTAGGCCTGTATACCTTGTACATGTACTTGTAGAAAATAAAGAAATTATTATTAATAATAAACTTACTAACCCGTAGGGAACATACAACACCTGGAAGATGGGAAGCAATTCAGGTTCAATTCAAAGGGGAAGATTAAATAAAAAAAACACTAACTGTACTGATATTTGATTTTGACAACAGCCTCATTCACCACTTATTGCGTTTACCCCATGAATCATTAACTTCCTTTTCTTTCATTGGTTAGGGCGTCGTCGTTGGGGTTATTTAGGGCCACCAGAGCTGACGCTTTATAAAGAGTAAAGTCAGCAAGGCAGATTTATTTATTTATTTAATTAACAATTTGAGCATACATACAGAGGTACAAAAAAAATACAGATAAGAGCAGCATGCCAAAGCCACTTATACTATGCATAGCATTACGGGCTGGCTTAAAATTAACTAAGCAATGATGAAATCAGTGATAATACATTATTGTAAACAGATAACTATAACTATGACTGCAACATTCCTTTCACTAATTATGAACTTGATGCAGCACCAACTAAGGGCAACTCCACGTCGCCTGGTGAGGATGTTATTACCTACAGCATACTTCTTCTTCTGTTGGGGTTTCAGGGCCACTGACAGCATACGCCGTATTGAGCCAGGCCGTCCAGTGCTAGGAGGGAATATCGACCAAAGTGGAAGAATGTCTTGACTAATATCATATGTCTCTGATACGTCCTGAAGCCAGCAGGTACAAGCCAATATCTCCTGACGGTCCAGAGGGCGAAACCCCTCCCCGTTGAGGAGGACAGATAGAGTGAAAGTATGCACCCCAAGTGTGAGCAAGGCCGCACAGAGAGTAGTCCGTGCAGAGTGATAACGTGGGCACCACAGCAGGAAGTGTTCCGCCGTCTCAGGCTGTGAGGGACACCACTGGCAGTACGGAGAGTCCGTCATCCGAAGGCGATATAGATGAGCCACCAGTCGCGAGTGCCCGAATCGAAGGCGAGTCAGTACAACGTCCACCGAGCGGTTGGGATGGCGAGCCCAAGGGCAGGGGCCATTAAAAGTTCGGACAGAGCCCAACGCCGAAGAAGAGAGGGAGTGTGCAAGGCCCTCTTGTCACTGATGACGGATTCCCTTCCAGACAGCCCTTGTGAAATCACTGTGGCCCAGGGAAAGAGGGGTAACAGTAGGAAGTGTGTGCGCGAGGGAGGCCGCCCGATCTGCCACTTCATTGCCCCAGATTCCAACTTGGGCGGGAACCCACTGAAGGGAGATGCTCCAACCTGGGCTCCGCAAGATGCGCATGAGGAGAGATTGTGTCTGACGAACGAGGACGCACAGTGATCGTGGACGGGCAGAGCACAAAAGTGCCAGGGAAGATTGGGAATCAGAGAAGAGGACCAGTGGTTGTGGGGGAATGTGATCTATGACAAAAGCCAGAGCCTGGTGAATGGCGAAGAGCTCCCCTGCCAGAACAAAATGAGCAGGGTCCAACCGCCACGTTTGACACAGGGAGAGGTTAGCGAAGAAGGCCGCAGATGATGTAGAAGGGGGGAGGACCGTGCCGAGCCATCCGTGTAGACGGAGAATGAAGAGCCATATGTAACAGAGCGAAACTCTTCAGACAGAAATGCAACTAACTGAGGGGGTTCCCTGTTCCTGTAGTGCCAATCCAGGTGGATGTATCGTGTCAGGTCCAGCCAGGGGAGTGCCGGAGAGTGGAGAGGGGAGGGAGTCACCACAAGTGCAGGAAGAGTAAGGCAGGTCAGGGAACGCTGGGCCCTGGCTACAAAGGAAGGCTGAACCAAACGTGGGGGGACAGGCTGTCTCCCACATCTGTGAAGAGAGGCGACAGAGGTGAGTACAAGGCAGAGAGGCCTTGTACTCACATTCAGTTTAGTAACAGAGCTACAGATGTCCCTCTTAACATAATGATAAACGGATCACCTATCACAAAGCTAACAGAGGGAAAATTCTTAGGAATCCACCTTGATAATAGACTCAAATTTCATACACATATACAACAAATTTCTAAGAAAATTTCCAAGACCGTAGGCATACTATCGAAGATACGGTACTATGTTCCACAGTCAGCTCTCCTGGCCCTATATCACTCTCTTATTTACCCCTATCTCACCTATGGAATTTGTGCATGGGGCTCAACAACAATTAACCATCTCAGACCACTAATTACCCAACAAAAGGCTGCAATCAGAATGATAACAAATTCACACTACAGGCAGCACACTCCACCAATATTCAAAACACTAAACCTACTCACCATACAAAACATCCATACTTATTACTGCACCTATTACATACATAGAACACTTAACTCTGATATTAACCCTCCCCTCAAACATCTCCTTGCCAACCTCAACAGAACATATGACCATAACACAAGGCACAGATCACTCTTTGATGTTCCTTGTGTCCATCTCACGCTATGCAAAAACTCAATGCACATAAAAGCCCTAAATCTGGATCATTACTGTAAATATAAAAGAAACACTACCTGCTTATAAATTCGAATCTCTTCTCAAAGATCACTTACTCACCCAAAACCAAATAAATACTGAATAACTGAACCTTATAAATTGTATATTTTAAATGTTTCTCACAATTATATCACATAAATGTTAAACCTAAGACCCGATCTAACTTTGTTATTGGTGGCCCGGTGGCCTGGTGGCTAAAGCTCCCGCTTCACACACGGAGGGCCCGGGTTCGATTCCCGGCGGGTGGAAACATTCCGACACGTTTCCTTACACCTGCTGTCCTGTTCACCTAGCAGCAAATAGGTACCTGGGTGTTAGTCGACTGGTGTGGGTCGCATCCTGGGGGACAAGATTAAGGACCCCAATGGAAATAAGTTAGACAGTCCTCGATGACGCACTGACTTTCTTGGGTTATCCTGGGTGGCTAACCCTCCGGGGTTAAAAATCCGAACGAAATCTTATCTTATCTTATCTTAAATACACTACCTAACAGAATACTCCATTCTACTGAATGTACAGCAATGCATGCAACCATATGACCTGTCTTTGTAATACTCATTTGTGCTTTATTGTTATCTGTTTACAATAATGTTTTATCACTGATTATATCATTGCTTAGTTAATCTTAAGTTAATTTTAAGCCTGCCCGTAATGCTATGCATACAAATGGCTTTGGCATGCTGCTCTTACCTGTATTTTTTTGTACCTATGTATGCATGTTCAAATTATTAAATAAATAAATAAATAAATTGTGACCAGATCTACCAGGAGTTCATTAACTTTGTAACTAGTTCAGCTATCATAACTTTGGGGTCCAGTCCCTGGACCCATTATGTACCTTTGTAATCTTTTGACTACCGCCCACAGGATGGGTGTGGGGTGCATAATAAAGATATTAAACTAACATGATTCCAACAAAGCATGAATAACCCGCACATTTGAGAACGAAACTTAGGACGAAGTTTCGGTCCAACTTGGACCAAGTAAGGCAACAGCGGCATTTCCCCGCTCCATGGGATATTACTCATTTCAAACTACCATCCCTCCATTTCCCTTCCAAAAACTTCTTAAATCACAACCAAAGCTTTTCCTTGCAGATAGACAGTATAATAACCTATGTGACATGTCAAGATATCTTATTAATGAAAATAAGATACCAGATATACTAAGCAAATTTCCTAAATTTGCTTTTAACAGATAAGTGAACTGTAGATATGTAGATATAAACCCATATGTACTCATGTTAACCCTTTGGGGTCTAGTTCCTAGGCCTTTTGTGTATCCATATGTTCCTGCGCTACCGACCACAGGATGGATATGGGGTGCACAATAAACTAGCCACTTCGGTGGCAAAATCTAAAAAAAAATCTTGTCCTTAAAACCAAGAAGGATGCCTTAATCTGTACTGACAACTTAGTCACACAGCACACTCACGAATTATTTTATGTTGATGGTTCTGTTCAGTAATCCACGGGTGGGGCTGATAGTGCTGCTGTTGCCATATAGAGTAAGTTTATTCAGGTATACTTAAATACAGTTAAAATAAATAAAAATAAAATAAAATATTTATTTATTTGCTAAGGTTACAATGTGTGTTTACATATCATAATATGATTGGAGCAAAGAAAGCCGCTGTCATTCCGAGGCATTTCGAGCAGTTACATAATTTATATATAACAGCATATGTGTAGAGAACCTAGGATAACCCAAAAAAGTCAGTGACTTATTTCCACTTGGTTCCTTTGTGATGGCTCTCATAAAGAAATTGGGGCACGCATCAATAACTGGGCCTCTACCCCAATGGAAATAAAGCACTCTAACTTTTTTGGGTTATCCTAGGTTTTCTAGATATATGCTGCTATGTATGATAATCTATGTAATTGTATTTGTGTATACCTGAATAATTGTAACGGGGCACCACTCTGTGCCGCTTGCTGGGTTCGATTCCCAGCGAGGGTAGAAACATTGGGCGTGTTTCTTTACACCGGTTGTCTATGTTCCCCATCAGTAAAATGGGAACCTGGGAGTTAGTCGACTGGTGTGGGTCTCATCCTGGGACAAAACTGACCTAATTTGCCCGAAATGCTCTGCATAACAAGGCGCTTTCTATATAGTAGTATGTCACTGATGTCACTGACTTAGTGTAGTGGAGTGCCGAACATTAGAAAATTCTTCTTTTTTGAACGTCGCCCTACCATAGCCAACAATAGTGATAAAATAGTACTTGAAGTGGTGGAGGTGAAAAAAAACTCTAGAAAAGCTAAATACAGTGATGTATAAGTGCCCAAAACCTCAGGCTGTAAAAAAAAAAGGGTGCTAGAGGTCACCGGCTGTTCGTCATAGTAGAAGCTGGCGGAAGTCATCGGTTTCTCCAATACGCAAGTTGTACTTTTTGTATCAAACTGAATGCATATTTTTCTGTTAAATAATATTCCAGAAGTCCTTACACGAGCTAGTTCAAAATCACCGACCGGTTTCATTCAAATACGTGATCCACTGACCGGATTCGTCCAAGAAATAAGAACCAATGACCGGATTCAAAAGCTGAAAAAGTTTCTAGGTGCTCTTAACACCCAACCGGATTCCTTGAAAAATAAGGTGTCTCCTGACCTAAGAAAAGCTTTTGACACAGTAAACCACAGCATCCTACTCCACAAACTTAACCATTATGGTATAAGAGGCCATGCACTTGCATATTTCAAATCCTACCTTACTACCTTAGCTCATTATTTTACATTTGTTAAATAATTCAGGTGCTATTTTTTAGCTTAAGACTATTTACTTTGTTTTATACTTAATTCTAACTATAGATTCACTACAAATCTTATGATTACAAGCATTGATCCTGATACCAATCTCTTATTTAATGACTTAAATGAATCAAACAGTTACTGTAATTACTACACTGCAGAACAATCAAAGGCACTTCTCAGTGCCAACAACAACATAACTATCTTTAACTACAAT